CTGAAATCTTCTTTTTCATCATTTTTTGCTATTTTTAGTTGTTGGTCATGATAGGCAGAAACTTTGAATTAAATGTTTTTTGTTCTTTCTTTCTGTTACAAGTCATTCTTATGTCTGAACTTTTTTTTATGTACCATGGTATGTTACCAAAATAAACAAGAAAGAAGAAAGAAACCCACCGTCAGTTCCACTACCATCATGTATATCGGGGAAGAGGTATATCCACCCAGGAATTGGTCAAAATGAAAGAAGCTATAAACAGTTTCTTCTCGATCACACATGACTTCGCAATAGCCAGAGGTTTTACCTACTTAGAATAAAAGACACCAGAGAAACACTTACTTTTATTCGACATCGAAGCCGACCTATGTTTAGAAAGGGCTAAACCGTTTGTCGATATTAGCCATAAAAGTGATAAAAAAAGATGAGGAACAAGTCTTGTTTATGTTAGGATCATTGTTTCGAATCGTCGATGTAAACAAGGAAGCTGATCTGAGCGATATATGGAGAGTTAAACTAAAGCTACGCTCCGACGAGGATGCTCAATTGAAAGATATGTTAGATAGATTTAAAAGACAATTGTCGAGAAAAACTAATTTCATTGATCTTGGCAACGTACCGTTTTACATGGGCCAATATGATCTAAAAAAATGTTACACGCTGCTTGTTGTGGCTGCTGCCAATTTAAAAAATGATAATACAAGTGCGTTGTGTAATAAACTGGGTGTATGTATATCTGGAAATCGAATAGTGGCATATCTCGTCTGAACATCCGTGGTGTAAAAGAAGTTCAGTTCAAGATTCAAGCACGAAACCACAACAAAAGATTAATGAAATTAGTGCTTGTGGAAGCGACTAGGAACAAATGACAACACGAAGAAAAGCGTAAGCTGTTTGTAACAACTGACGATGAGGAAATACAAATTGGCAGTAATCAAATCTTTCTTGGCAATGGTCGTGCTGCTAATGGACCATTCCTAGAACATACATAAGTTTTTAGAGTCAATTGGGCTATTTACTCAATCCACTGGACTGGACTAGATTTTTTTATCTATGGACTCACATCTCTCAACTGTTTCTTTTAATTGCTATGTACTTACTCTAAAGTTATCATTCAAGTTATTCAAGTTTTCTTATCTCATATACGCGTGTCTTCACTGAAAACACAAAAGTGTTTCTCTTCTCAGATGTTAAATCACACAATATCACATTTAGATCGATACTTTTGTATTTTGTTCCTATAAGGCGTGGCGAGCTAAAGGTCTACTTTTGGGTGCCATTTTTGTTTTAACTTGGCAAAGGCTAAGAATATATCATTCGACGCAGTTTTACATGGTGATTACACATCTGGGCTCAAAAACAAATGAAAGTCAGATCTTCGTGGTAAAAATTCAAATTTTTAAACTTTTAAATTTTAAATTTATGCCCTGATCTAGATATTTTTTGCAAAAATTCTGAAAACTATACCGTCGGATGGAAAATCAAACCTTCTACCAAAGGGCTCGTTTGTTCTGACGTTTAGATGCCAAATTTTTATTTTATTTTCTAAAATAAGTTTTGGCGCTTATTTTGTGAGCAATTTTATGCCCATCTGTTCTAATTATGAAAATTTATTTTTGGCTGCATGGGATGAAGGGTACCTCAAACTATCAATCTATGTGCAAATCAGAGCTTGCTAAGCGGTTCTGTGACAGAAAAAATATATACCAAACCATATGCGACGAAGAGCAAAAACCGGTGAAATTCCGTAACGGGCACTTTTATTCGATTTCCTCTGCTAGAGAACTAATTCAAGAAAAAGTCATTAGTGATTTTGATAGCCCAAACTGTGAGCTTTAATTTGAAATTAAGCAATCATTTTAAAATTAATTTAAGGCTGAATAATTCACAATTTACTGGAATACCCCGAAAAACACTTCCATTTTTTTGAAATTCCGTAACGACCTCTATTTTGACTATAACTTTTGAGCCGCTTGTTCAATCAAGCTTAAATTATTTTTAGTAGTAGAATTCCCTAATATCCATCATTGGTATAAATTCCATTGATAAATGTTGCTCCTTTGTCGAGATAAGGGGCACAGAAGAAGAAAAAAATGAAATTCCGCAACATTTGGCCAAGCCGTATACTACTTATACATCAAATGAGAACGATTTCTTATCTGATACAAATTTTCTTTTCGTTCAACTAGTACGCAGATATAGAGACACTTTGCTTAATAAGAACGGACTCTACTTTCATTGGCTTTTTTTGATTACTGTATAATAAGTTTCGAAGCAGTTCTACCCTTGTTTGCATATCTGAGTAGAGAAAAGTCTCCTGAATCGAATGGNAATGGTAAACGGTTTAATTAGTTTATACGAAAACTGATTGAGTTATGACTGGTAGAATGAGTTCGGTTAGAAATATGTTAGTTTTTGTCTTAATTAAATTTTCTGGGAACACGAATGATATATAATTCGATGTGTTTCGAAAAAACGTTTTCGTCGAAACTTTTAAGCAAAACATCCGACGGAGACCTCAGACAAAAATTTCGAGAGAAACTTTTTATCTGCTTTTAACACTAAACGTAGGTGGACACCGTTTCAGGACATGCCTAATCTGAATATCGCAGTCTTCCGACTTGAATCGTTGCGGCGAAAAAGTAGGGAGTTTTCATATGAATGCGCGAAATTGTCAATGCAGTCGAGAAGTCCCAAGCCTATACAAACATACTTTCTTGATGCAGTTTATATCATGTTGCTGCTCTGTTTTTAGCCCAGATATATGCAGTAGATTTATTAATAATACCTCAAATCTTTTAATTACAGGCAAACAGCTGTCTACACTAGAGTAATTCATTTACATTTTTTTTCAATAAGTAATAACTTTGTCTGCAGCTGGCGTTATTGTCATTGTTCCGTTGTTATTATCAAGTGTTTGATATTTACTGTAACTAACACTATGTCCAATAATTTTTCCACTTTGTGTATCAGTTGTATTCACTTCTTTATACAGAAGTTTTTCAGTATTTTTCGTGACTTCTTTAACACATGTCGTTGTTCGATAACGTTGATTTTGACCGGATGTTGTTGTGTTACATTTCGGTTCAATTTGACCTAAATCTCCAACGTCATCTTGTGAATCACCATTCAGTTGTGTCGGTTGTTGAAACATGCTATCAAATTGTTTTTGCATTTGAACAAACATATTTTGAAAATAATCGCCGAACGATGATGATGTAGCATTACGATCAAGCGGATTAATACTATCAAACCATGGCGAATCAGGACGATTTCCATTTGACCATGGTTGATTAAACCAACTGTGTGCCGTAGAAGTAAGTAGCGCAACGAGTAATAGACGAAACATTTTTTGATGTGTATGCGAATGTATTCAATATTAAAATGATATGACGGCCGTTTGCTGTCTGTCTTAATATCTTTATATAGGAGAAGAAGAAAGAACTAGAAAATAGGAGAGAAAAAGTACAGATATTCTAACACTCACAATATGTATTAATCATCGAGTGTTTGAGTGAGACATAGAAAAATGTTGCCACTATTTATTTGATATCACATTCTTCTTCTTCAGTTTGTTGTTTGAATGATATATCTCTCTCTTTCTACATAGTTATGTATATGTGTGAACTGAAGTACAGGTCACTCTTTTCTCATATCAATAAAGAAAGGGAAGAAACTGTGCTCTTCGAGCTGTGCGCTATCAATGCAAACCTATAATTGATAACGACCATCAATTGATTTTTGGTAGCAGCAGGAAATATTTCATAAGTTTATTGAGTAATATGCAATTATATTGGAAAAAAACTACCTCAGAAGTTGGGTGAGGCATGTGATTTCTTTGCGAACAAGAAGAACATCACAGAGACTAGATAAAATAAATAAAAGATTTGCTTCTTTTTGTCTTGGTTATGTGTAGTGTAGTCCATCTCAAAATTAAAAATGCTACTTTTCAAAAGAAATGCGTTAAAAGGGGGTGGAACAGTTTCAGTTTATATTGTTTCTAGTAACTGGTTAAAAGAACTGGTGACCAGTTACCGTTACTGGTAACTGTAACTGGTTGACCAGTTACAGTTCCCAGTAACTGGAAGTGGTGACCACTTACCGTTTTCTTCATAATCAAGATGTAGAAAAGTTGATGCTCATCTATCTTGTTTTTTATACTGTAATAAACTCATCTAGTTCAGTTCCCACAGACAATACTGCCATGTTTTCCACAGAAACAATACACTATTGAAAATACAATATAGGAAATCTTTATTCTACAGCCTTTCATGCGAGTGTTCCTATACTATGGGAAGCGCCTTTAACTGTTTAAAAAAATTACAGAGCAACAAATATTCACTTAGAGATGTAAAATTATGGTGATTTGAAGGAACAGTAACTGGTAACCAGTTCCAGTTACTAGTAACGATAACTAGAGAGCAGTGCCAGTTACTCGTAACGGAAACGGGAACTGTCCCACGCCTAGTTAAAAGTATTTTGCTGATCACCTTTGTCTTAATCTCACATAAGTTTGCTGGACAAAAAAAAGAAGAAAAACAATATATCACCGAACAAGCAAAAATTTACCTAGTACAGAATGTATTTTGAGCCTGAGTACTTCAGAAAACTGGCTAGATTTTGGCCATAAAAAGTAAAGAAATTTTTCTCTGGCAGGAATCGAGCCTGCGCATGTGTGACTAATAATTTGCTGTGCACACTTAGTAGCCTATTTAGCTATTATAGAGTACTAATGAAAATGTTCTTTTTCGCTCTTATTTGATGCTGACATAGGAAAAACGAAGGCAGGGTTTCCTTTTTGGGTTCATTATCTCATCAAGAGACATTATACACAACAAATAAACCGAACAACGGTATAAAATATTTGTTTGTTTCGGTTGTTTACTCTTAGCATAAAGATAGGATAAGGACGAACCATCAATCTTTACCCGCCTTTCTGTTCAGGAGCGTGATGGTCCAGTTCGGAATACACTCTAACTCGGCTTCATGCCCCTTCCAGTATGGTTTTATTTGCCTGAAATCAAAAAGGTTGTATACAAGAACACAGATAAGGGATATTCTGTTAAGTACATCCAAAGATCATCAGCCGTTGTCCACCTTTCTGTTCAGGAGCGTGTTGATCTCAGTATACACCTCTTATTTCTCCCTGTTTCTTTTCATTTTATTTAGGGAACATGTCAAAATGTATTCCGGTCGGTCGGTCGCTATTTCTCTATTTCTCTGTTCCACTATTCCGCACACAACATTTGGTTTTATAATAACTTTTATATACATGTATATAGAAATTTCGTTTTCTTTTCTAATTTAAATTAAATGAAAAAAAACAAGAGAAGAACCAGTTCTATATTTTCATTAAATGTTCATCTTTTATGTATGCAACAAAGAGTGCTCAGTGTAAACTTATTTCATATTCTGCTAAATTTGCTAACTAAAATTACACTAATT